AATTCTCACTGCTTAATTTGGGGGCTGCCACAGGATCTTCCTTCAGCTCAAAGCAGAAGCTCTGTCAACACTTTCCACCCTCAAAATTCTTTAATATTCACATAATTCCAGTCTTCAGTGGGTTCTCTCAACCATGAGTAATGTACTTCTTAGTAATGCAATTCCATTTCAGGAAAGGATCTCATGAGTGGAGTGTTCAGTTGCCAAAGGGATTTCTTAAAGCAGCAAGGACTTAACCTTTAAGAGAAAACACATTCACACCTTATGACTTCTACCAAGCTACCTAAACACAAGACCTTCATAAAAGAGCACTGGCTGCCTTTATTTATATACCAATTTCTGCTCCATTTTCAATATGGATGTTAAATAAAAATCAAACTAAGAAACTCAGAGTAATATTATCCTCCTTAGAACTGGAAAGGATCTCCATTTATTAAAAAACAGCTTCAGAAGTTCAAATTCAAAAGAGCTGAGACTAAATACAAACTCTATGTAGCCATTACATCTATTTTCAGAGATTAAAGGTACAAACAATGAAGAGAAAAGTTGTCCATAAAAAATTCTAGTTCTGAGCATAATCACCTCTGAAGTGCTTTGTGTCCTAATTAAATGTGCCAAAGTCCACCACAAATATCGTCTGATAACATTTGGGAATGGCAATTTGGATGCTGAAGAAGTTCAGGAGGATTTAGTGTGTGCTGCCATTGCAGACATGAAGGATGTCAAAAAGGAAATAAAAACCCCAGTCCCCATAACTCTAAGATCACTCACTATATGTTGAGTACCTTACAAAAGATTAACAGACTGGTGTTTTTGAAAGCTCTCACTGAGTGCAACCCATTTTTCTGGATTCCACCTCTGTTTTTCCTGATGGCTTTCCATCCTGGAGCCTACAAAACCCAGATGAGGAGATTTTGATCTGCCAGTGCCAGGGTGCAATTAGGAGCAGGCATGTTTGCAGTGAACTAAGCAGGTGATGCACAGTATGACCCGAGCCCATGGCAAATCAGGCCTCATTATTTTCATGCCATACCTTGTGCAGGCCTGCCCCATGCTGCAAAATGTTCAACTGCAGAAATCACAGGAAGAGAAATAAAACCTGTCTCACAGTGGAAAACACATTACACATTCTCATATCCTTCCACAGATGAGAAAGGGGCTCTTCTGGGGATGCTTCATGTACTTTACAAAATGCTGAGACACGTGGCACTTCCATTCACAACCCATGAATGCATCCTGACGGTAGGCAAAAATAATACTGGGGGGGAAAAAAATCCCAGCATTTAGCATCTGCTAAATAATAGCTTAACAATAACTTCTCATCTATGGACAAGATTTAAAAAGCAATTGAAGATTTTCAAAGATCCAAGACTCATGGCAACAGAATCAAAACAGTCACATTTTGTTCATAAACGCAGTAGTGCAGGCAAGACTTTGGATGTATTAATATCTAAATAGAATAAACAAATAAGAAACTATCAAAAGGGACTAAAACAGAAGCAGATTTAGAAAATTAAATCCAGGACAAATCTTAAGGAAGAGGCAAATTTAAGCCAAAGGTTTTTCACCACAACTCTAGAAAAAGAACTCAGTGCAAGAGAATTAGAATTAACATCTTCCAACAACAAAAACTCCAACACTACAGAGAAATTACATGTGGGAAACTAATAACTGATGAAAAATCGAATAAAAAGTACAGGACAACAACGCCTAATAATGAAAATATGAATTCAGAGACCATTTGTCTAAACCTTCACCACTGCTAATTCAACTTATGGTTCCTGAACATTTTCTTCCATCTTATTCAGGTACTTGAATAAAAAGCATCTGGAAGAATTTTCTGTAATAGCTTAGACAAACAAGACTCTTTGTATGATTATTTAGTCATCTTCAACACCATATAAATTCATCCTGACAGGCTCTGCAGATTCATACCAAGGATCATATGCATTATATTTTTAGTCCTTATTTTCCACATCTCTCCCTTCTGAGTTTTCCATTCCATTGCCCATCTCAGAACAAGTAAGAAGCAGGAGGAGAGAAAACAACAGTATAACTTGGCAGGTTTATAAAACTGGACACTCACCAAACTAGAATGAACAGGGTATAATGCTGACCTGTACAAAGATTCAATCCATTCCCCTTTGGACAGTCCTGCCCCATGTCCTCAGCCCCAAACAGACCCGTGGCTTTTCTTGCTGCCACACAAGCCCTACACACAGGGCAGCTCACAGCCCTAGATTATGGTTTCTATGAGTCAAGAAAATTATCTAAGCTATTTTAAGAATGTTAAGGCTGGAGGATTAAGCACTCCAAAGCACCAAGAAGTGACAAGCTAAGCATCTATCTCCTATATTACTCCCTTGTTGAGATTTATTACAAAGCTCTTATTTCACTCTTGGGGAAGACGAAAATTTCACCATTATGTTTTCCAAACCAGAAGTATTCTCTTCCTGATGATAACAAGGTATCATCAAGATAATATACTCGTATTTTAAATATGACAAACAAGACTAGAGTACTCAAACCTTTTAACATAACAGTTCTAGTTAAATTATTACAATTTCAGCTTCCAAATGCATTTCCCCCCCCCTCATGCTGTGTTTTTCACATAGACTTTCACTTGTCTGGAGAAGTCAGAAACTACAGTAATATGTCTGTATTCAGCCACACAAAATACAATTATTTTGTTCAGGCTTCTGAATAAAGTATGCCATTTTCCAATAATTAGATTCTCTGAAGTAATCAAGTATCTCAAAGGAATAAGGTAACAAAATATTTATCCTTACTTATCCCTTATTCCATTACAACGTCAAAGTATTATTTAGATTCTCATTCCCAAAAATTTCCAGAAACACTTTATTTGGGGAAAAACATTAAAATGATCAGATGTTAGCTTGAGTACTATATCCCTAGCATACACGTTAAGTTTCCACAAAAATGCTGTTCAGCATTGGAAACAAATGGTGTTTTGCCAGAAACATTTCCAATAGCTGCAATTATCTTTGAGGCATAGGTTTCTACCTTGTGATGTGTGACCCTTGAGTCCAGATTGCATGAAATGATCAACAGCAGCTTTTCTGAAAACAACAGGCCACAGACGTCCTTGAGATAACTCCTATCTGCCTCAAATAATCTTTGCAGAAAGCTGCACAGCTTTTTATTGAAACATTTCCCCAAAATAGATAATCCACCCCAGACCACACATGGTCAGACATGTGTCCTCCTCCTCTGGGCTGGACTGACCCGGCTGCAGCTTCTCCCAGCTACCACACTTTATTTCAAACAGCTCGTCACCATAATTTCTGTAACTGACCAAGAAGCCATTCTTTAATCTTTGGGTTTTCCCTGTCTCAGAAGATACTCAGTATCTTCTGTACCTTCAGGGAAGTTTTAGTTTAGAGACAATTCTGAACGGCTGACACCAGGCTTGCAGTACCACCCAAGAGCCTTTTTGACCACATGATGTTGCTGGAGACTCGTGTTCCCCTCTCTCCTTGCTGTGGCAGTGCCATGTCCCTGACAGGTGACAAACCAGGCCCGTGTCCTTGTCTCCGTGCTGTGAAACCTCAATTGGTCACACAGAGAGCCCCCGGCTATCTGCGGTGCCCGCAGGTGCTAACGAGCCCCTTTCAGCTCCTAACAGCCCAGCAGGGCTCATCTGTCCCGGACAGTTTTAGATTTCATTCCAGATCCCCAGGAGGGGGAGGTTCAGAGCTGGACTGGGCTCAGCAGGGAACCATCAGGGGGTTAAAGCACCCCAGCCTCATAAAGCCACGTCCTACCCACACTGGTCACTGCCTGGGCTGTGCCACACTGAAATCCTAAAAACGGAGCAGCAGCAGCCGCCCCCCAGACACCAGCACCCAAATAACACCCCCAGCACCCCAGTAACACCCCCCAGCACCCCAGTAACACTCCCCAGCTGTACAAAGCCACACCCCAAAAACCTACCCTGACCAGCAGCACCAGCCGCCCTCCTCGGGTCTCCCTTAACCACCCCATTATTCACAGCACAGCCCTCTAATTACACGGGGCTCCCCGTGAGCCTTTTAATTACTTGCTGCATTCTTTTGTCCTGCCCTCTTGGATTTCTCACAATCGTTCAAGAATTAATGGCAGGAAAATAACCCGCAGCATTAATTGCCTACAGAGTACTTTGGACAACACTTGAATCCAGTTTATCTGCAGCTACACAACTAAAATGTGAAATGAGTTGCTGGTATTGAATGTGCTCCTTAGCTCTTTTCCCATCATCTTGCCAGTAGGAAAGCTTGAATAACTAACAATTTTAGCTTGTTAACAGAGACATTTCAGTTATATTTAGCACTTCTAAAAGGGCAAAGTACTTGAAAGATACACACTTATTTGGATACTTAAATATCTTTCCAGCAATATGTTTCTTCTTATACATTTGCAAGGTGACTAAGTGCTTTACTTAGTTCATTTTTGAACACTGTACGCTGGAAAAACACTAATTTATGTCATCATTTTGTCAAATCAAGAAGCATTTTAAAAAAACATTGTTACTGTGAGGGATGCAAGCAAAGCAAGATATGACACACAGCTTAACAAAGAAAGTGCTACAAAGAGTGATGCTGGCATGCAAGCAACTATTAGTTCTCACCATGGACAAGCTGCACGTATTTTAGGGATGTAACTCCTAGCAAGCACCCCCAAAAATTCATATATTTAATCACTCAACAGGTGTTTTGATATGCACACAAGGCATTTAGGGTTTTTTTGTTTGTTTGGGGTTTTTTTTGTTGTTTTATTTTAGAAAAAGGACTAAAATGCAACCCATGGCAAAACAAATCTAAGCACAGATTAGGGAAGCTGACAAATCAGGTCAGAAAACACCTTTCAAAATAATTAAGAAGCATTCCTGGTAAGAAGAATTACAACGTTTATGACAGGACTTGCCACAACCAGATACAGTAGCTTTAGGATGGACTTTCAGTGTAGTTTTTGAGATGCAATAGATGGGACACAGCACCTACCTTGAATGTTTACAAAGTTTACGAGGTCTATTATGCAATTTCCGATCCCAATTCTCTGGATCACTGGAGTTACTGTCATAAGGATGAGGCCGTCCTGCCATTCCACTGCCAGCTTCCTCACACTACTGCTCTGAAAAGCACACATGCAGCACTCACAACCTACATTAAGAGAGCAGTGTTTACCTTTAGGTAATGCCACACAGGAAAAAAAAAAGTCAGACATGCAGAATTTAGTGTTGTTAGGTTTTGATTTTTTAAATGCAGATTACAGAAAATTAGGATACACTGAAGCAGAAATTGCAAGACAATAATATTTTACACATTTTGCTGATACCTGCACTTAAAAGAGTATTTTGTTACAAGAAATATAGTTCTATAAATGCTGGCAGGCAACTTCAATTTTGCAACAATTAAAATCACTGTGTCCAAACAGAAAAGTCACTGGTTATAAAACACAAGACAAACACATCATGATTTTCTTTCAAATGTATAAAGTTAATTCAAAGGAGGATCCCACGTGGAGAACAGAGACCAACAGTTTTACAATTTGAATGGCTGATCAAAAAGAAAACAGAATTAACATTTATATCTGAGTGCTCACTCCAAAATGGAATCAACAGCAATCCCTAGAAACACTCAAAGTGCTCCTGTTCCACTGACTTTTGCAGAGAAGTCACAAAAACGAAATAAAAATAGATACAATAACTACCCCTCCTTAAGTGGGGTATGATGTTATGTTCAGCTCCCTTTAGAATTCTCACAGATCAAACCACCCTGTGACTGTCAGCAGAGACAGCCAATCTCCAAAGGCTGCTCACAACCATTCCTCTAAAGTGACACTCGTGGTAACAGAGTTGGATAATTCAGAATGACCTGGTTACAAAAACGATAAAGCAGCCACAAGTGAGCAGCTGATCACAGCACAACATCTGGAAAAAAAATTGAATTACAGACAGATAAACCTTCCAAGTAATGGGAAGTCTATGAAGTTCCTTTACAATTTTAAGCTACATATTGTAGAAACATTGTTTCTGCCTCATCTCACCCTTAACAGACTGGAATTACATTCAATGAAACTTATAATATGTGGAAGTGAGTCCCAAAGCAATTGAGACATCTTTAAAACAAAGTTACTTCTCAAATAAACTGTCCTTTAAGTCATGGAAAATGGAATAGCTCTCCTGGCAAATTTAGATTCTCCTAGCTAAATTTAGACCCAAAAGTTTTTATTACAGGGGAAGAAGAGAACAAGCTTCTTAAAAATGTTGGTTGCATCCAAGTTTTGCCTTCGTGTTCAGTTTTACCCAAGCAAACAGGTTTAATACAAAGTATGCAGACTCCACCACAGGGTTGGGTCTTTTTCCTGCTACAGTTTCTACAATTAAATGCACTTTGATTGGAAGACTCCTATCGTCGGGTGTCCATACAGAGTCAGGAAAAGGAAAAATGACAGGAAATACTCAACTTTCTCATGGAAAAAAAAAAATTTGAAAGTCCTGATAGGCATTTCATTGTGTATTACCTGGAAAGTCAAGTTAGCAAAGCACAGTCAGTGAGTGAGGATATTACACAGAGAAGGTTGTGGGATCTACACACATTTATTTATCAGGAGAAACCTACAACCTGTGTCAGAACAGAAAAAGTATTATTGAGGAGACAAGGGGAAGGAAGGCTGGTTTCTAAATCCAGGAGCAGTGGTTCCCAACTGAGGTGCAATACACAAGCACTACAAGAATAAAGACACTTTGTGTCCTGAGTGGCACCAAACTGTGTTATGAGATGGAGAGTCTCCAGGCAGGTACACAGTGAGAGCCTCACTCCTCGTGGCAACAGCAGCGTGTGGAACACAGAGCCAAGAGCAGCAATGTCCCAGGGACACCACAGCTCCCTCCCACTGACACATCACCCAGCTCCCACTCCGGCCTTTGCCAAAGCACCACAGCACCTCCGGCCACCACATGGTTCTTGACAAGCTTCTGCTTCTTTCCACAAACCCTCTCTTCCCTTTAAAGCTATCTAAGAGTTTTATAGATCTCACCCTCTCAGAGTGCCTTAGGACAAAGAGGCACCCAGCACCCAGTTCTGATTCTTTGCACAGAGGCCAATATTTGAATTTAGCTTTTTTACTCTAAAGATGTGCAAAAGCAGCTGTTTTTATGAGAACTGCAGCTGAAAGGCCAATTTAAAGCCACTTCCTTATATTGTCTCACACACTCTGCTTTCTCCCCATCTTTCTTATAATGAAAATTCAGCAGGAAGATGCAGGTCCACACAAACTTCAAGGAAAACGCCTGTTCAGAGCAGGATCAGCTCCTCCATGTGCTTTGCTCTGCAGCTCCACGGTCAAATCTTTACAAACAATAGATGCCACAGAAGGACAGAAACAAATGGAACTGCTTCCCATGAAGAACAGCATTCCCTTCTTCCAGCTCACAGGAAACCCCAGCAGTGGCACTGATGAAGTGGCAGGCTGGCACCCAACTCACAACCAGGGAAAAGCTATGCAAAGAAGTGAAACAATCCCAAATGTCTAAAGCTACACCTTGTGAAACTTCTTGTTTAGTTCCAAGCATGTCACACTGTGGACAGTCTTCCCTCCATCCTCCACTCCACAGCATCTCAACAATTAACACTCCTCTAAAAAACAATTTGCTGTAAGGCAGCCAATTTTTTCTCCTTGACCACTGCTGATAGTGCTTTTGTGCAGATTATAAACAAATGTACTTCCCAATTTTGTTTTAAGTTTTAACAAACTTTTAAGACCATAAATAAGGAACTCTTTTGTTTTGCCCTGTTGAAAATAGTTTCTTTTTTCAATTAGAAAATGCTGTATAAACTCTGTGAAGTAACTAATCAGTCATCCTGATTAATTTTTAAACACTTCTGCAAAGCCAGTTTTTCCCATAGCAGAAAAGAACATTTCAGCTGTGGCTTGTTTTTTTGGTTTTTTTTCCATGGATTCACACTGCAGGCAATAAACAAAGCATGTTCTGCGGAACATTCTGACCTTGTGTACAAGAAAAAAAACAAAAACATCCTTGCAAGTGTACCTGGCCCCAAATACCATTCTAAGCCTTCCATGAAAACAAGGAACCACATCTGAAATGCTGGTGAAGGTGAAAAGACACTGGGAGCACATAAAATAAAGAATCAAATCCAAATACCCTTAGCAGATCACACAATATTGGAGTATTGGCCAAAGTGGTTGACATTCTAATTAGCTAATTAGCAATTCTCCAGGTGTAAAGAATGACTTCATACCCTTCTGCAGAAAGCAAATACTCCAGAGAGTCATCACCGGGAATAAAAGGAAATCAGGAAGCAGACTTTAATTTTCAAAGCTTTCAGCACAGACAGCTAGAACACTTCAGATTTGCTAACATCAACTTGAAGCCAGAATCATCACTAATTTATGAAAGTTGTAGGCTACTGAAATACAAGGGAATTGTAAAGACCCAGTGGGTTTGAGAAGTTAAAAGTCGATGTGGTAGAGCCACCCCAGACATTGCAAAATACAGTCACTAATGTGCTTACAGCACCACTTAAAGAGCTCATGAAAGGATGTATCATACACTAATTTGTGATAGATGTTGAGCAGATTATTTTAAATAATACTTGAAGCATATTCAGTCCCGGGCCATGGCAAAATAGAAGGCACAAAGGTTGCTGAGCAGACCAAGTAAGACTCAGACAACATGAGGTGCTGGACAGGAGTGGAGATGCACTTTTGTGAAATGCAGGATTTGCATTTTTCAAGGCACTGCAGGCCAGCAGGGGGTAGAAAATGCTCTCTGGAAATCTTTCAAGAAAGAGGGAAAGCTAATCAAAACCAACATCAATGCATTTCCAGCCAGCCAGTCACACTGTAATTGCTGAGAATACCTGTAGGCTGCAAAAATCTAGAGTCTTACTAAAAAAGATGATCACAGTACCCTGCAACTTTGAGGCAGAAAGCCAGGATGTCTTTGGCCACCAGTTCATCAGGTAGAACAAAGATCTGATGGCTCCTGCTGTCAGTACTGAGGACAACATTCAAATAACTAACACGTAATACTTCAGGCATCTACTCAGCTCTGAGCTTTGGTCAGAAGCATTTCTAAAGCAGGACAGGTTTCAGAAGTTCCTCTGCTCTAACCTGCTTCCTCATCACCGGAAAGGTGAAGCAGGATAATCAGGAAGCTCCAACATACAAGTCCCCAGCAAGGACAAAACCTGGCATCAGTTGTGACAAAAACTCCAAGTCTCAGATTAAATATTTAGACTTTCTGTAAGGGGTGACAGTCTGCTGTTCACTGCCTCTAGTCATCAAAGCACAAAAGCAGCAACAACAAAAAGGAACTTCCAAGTCAGATTCACTGGGAATGCAAGCACGGTGACATTACATCCTAATTAAGAAATACAGTTCAAAGCACACATGCTTATAATGCAAACACCACATACCATGGAAATCCATACCTGTCAAGTGAGTTTCTTGCAAACTAGTGCAGACATCAGTCACAATTCTGGCACATAAAACAGCTTTATAAATTATTATCACTGAAATATTATCAAACTGACACTGATTAAAGCACAGCTCAGAGATGTCCTTTGCAATACAGGCTCAACATTAACATAGAAGGTCAGGATTGAAGCTCCTCTTAATGAGCAAGGAGGAAGAAAAAAATAAAAAGGAAAAAAAAAACCTAAGCAGTCACAGGAAGCTGATGGTATTCCTATCTATAGCAACATAAACAAGAGATATCCAGTAACTAGCCTGTAAACTTTAACTTTGTAATTCCTAAAGGGAACACAGTGATTAAACAGCTATCTGACACTGGAAGCCTAAAAAGCAAGAGGCAGGTGACTCCCAGCTCCCCCTCTGTATTAGGGCTCATTGTGGGAAACCTGCCCAGCTCGACCTGCAAAAAAGGCCCGTGAATGGAGCAAGCTCTCCCTCCAAAAGCAGAATCGTGGCTCTGAGAGCAGGAAAAGGGAGCAGAATCCAACTCCTTACCACTGCCCCACCAATGGTGGCCCTCCAACACAAGAGAGCAGGCAGGCACGGGGCTCCATCCCACTTGGCACCAGGGATGAGAGAAAGGGAACCAGAGCAACAACCACAGCTCCTGAAGGAACAAGCAAGGTCTGAACCCATGGCTGTACCCAGCAGTGACAACACATCTCAGCGAGCAAGAGAATTCACACATACAGGTTTTCACACCTGAAATGAAGTCTAAATTAGCTTTTATACATATTTTACTTTCACTAAGCAAGTGCACCAGGCCAAGATTTAAGCAACATTGCTAAAGGAAAGTTGTGCTGAAAGGAACTGGCACAGAATGAAGCTCTGATTTTTGGGTATGAATACAGGACAAAGCAGCCCCAGCCTGAAGCACACAAGCTGCAAAAACACACAGTTTATAACAAAGTGACAGAAAACCCAACAGTGATGACATCTGTTACTAATTTAACACACAATGTCATCCACACATCAGCTGTTCACCACTTTCAAATGCAATTGTGCCTAAAAGGAAAAGTGGGCTTCAAGAAGGAATTTAGTGTGGGATACAAAAGCTGCTTTAGCTTGTTGTCTTTCTTAACCCCCCCGGGTTCCCTGGCATTAAGACACAAACACAAACGTGCTGAAAACACTTCCCAGAGCAGCCCCAAACAGCACCATCTGCACAGAGGGCAATGACGAGCACAGGCAAGGATGCATGATGAGGTTTGGAGACAGAAATGGTACAAATCCAGGGGCAACACGCAAAAGCTTTTGGCAATCTGGGTCTTCATAGGAAAAGAAAGCAAAATCTCTGTGATGTTTTGCAAGAGACTCAGTCCAAGACACACTGACAGACCTGCCAAACATAGTGCAACAGTCTTCCTTAACTACACGGCAATGGATAAAAAAAAAAAAGGGAAAAAAACCCCCATCCATTTCCTTTTGACTGCACTCGTGTTCAAGCTATAGGAATTCCAGGTATCCAACACCAGATGACATAGAGACACGTGTTTTAGCTAGCTCAGAGAAAAGATAACAAGTGTGCACCACCAGGTTATGGACTCTGAACAGCATGAGGTTGATAATTTGAATTCTTTCTCTGGGACACTGGGTTTCTCTGGCAAATCTAGGAGGGAAAGGATCAACAAAGCTGAAGCAACAACCGAGCTGAGTCCTCTTTAAATGAATCACAGAAGGTGATTCGTGAAGAATACAGGCAAACAGAAGTAAGGAGAACAGTGTCAACAGTCAAAAGGCTACAGAGAAGCCAGATTTTAAGCATGTATTCGAATTCATAAGAGGCAGCCAACAATAAAGAACAAAAAGACACAAGGCTTAAGCACTCCTTTGGACAAAGAAGCCAGACAAGAGACAGCAACAAACCTGGGAGAGGTCTATGATGGAGCTCGATCCAAATTCTGAAAGAAAACGGTTCTAAAGTGACACACTGGGTGTGACCAGAGATAAAGAGGAAAAAGATGCAGACACAGTAGCTATAAACAAAAGTGAACGTAAAGAAAACAACTAATGACAGGCAACTGCAACAAGCAATTGTACTATGACAGATCTATGATATGTTTATGATATAAACAGCTGATGTTTTCTGCAAATAAAATACGGTTACGTAGAAAAAATATTATAAAGATACTGAACTCATTCTGAAAGCGTTTGAGTAGGTAAATGACTGCTCAGGAATGACACGACGGCTGTCAGGCAGACCCGAACACCACCACTGGCTCTGTACAGGCCTCCCAGCGCCTGCAGGTGCTACCAGCAAACAATGCAAGACGAAAACCAGGAATTCAAACCGTGCCCAGCCCGCTCATGACACAGAGCTGCCGGGGCACGGCGGCAGGCGCAGCTCAGTCTGCGGGGCTCTGGCGGTGAGGGAACGGCAGCACGCGGCCGCCGGTGCGGACGGGGAGCTCCCGGAGCCTCCCCCTCAGGAGACATTCCCAACCCACCTGGACACGCTCCGCTGCCACCTGCTCCGCGTGACGGGGCTCGGACTGGGGGGATCTCCGGGGATCCCTTCACGATCTTAAAGGCTCTGCAGCAGGGCCGGCGGTAGCCCCAGGACGCCGGGCTGAAGGGTGCTGAAGGGTGCCAAAGGCCCGCCGGCCACCCCCGGCCGCCCGCACTCACCGGCTCCGGCGCGGCCGCCTCCCGCCGCCGCTCCGCCAGGCCCGGCACCGCCGCCACCTCTCGCGAGAGCCGCCCCCGCGCAGCGGAGGAGGCGGCGGCAGCGCCCGCATCTCGCGAGACTCGCGGGGCGGGGCGAGCGCGGGACGCCGTTGCCAGGGTGCGGCCGAGGGCTCCCTGAGGTGGAGGGGGGGTGTGGAAAACCTGCAGCCCCGTGAATAAAAATCCAGCGGAAAAATGCCGCGGGGAATGAAATGAGTTAGCAAATCCGATACCGCTACAAGTCACGAAGAAACGAGATAAATCCTGCGCCGAGAGTGGGGCGGCCGGTCTGAGGGGCCGCAGCGGTGCTGGAGAGCGAGCGCCGCCTGACGGCCATGGGGAACGGCGGGGCGGGGGAGCTGGGATCTCCTCTGTGGAACTGCGATCTCCTCTGTGGAGCCGGCATCTCCCCTCAGGAGTCGGCATCTCCCTGAGGAACTGGGATCTCCCTTGTAGAGCCAGGCTCGCCCCGTGGAGCTCTCTAAAAAGCCGCGATCTCCTCTGTGGAGCCGGCATCTCCCCTCAGGAGCCGGGATCTCCATTGTGGAGCCGGGATCTCCCCTCAGGAGCTGGGATCTCCCTTTTAGAGCCGGGGTCCCCCTGTGGAGCAAGGCTCTCCCTGAAAAGCCGGGATCTCTGTGGAGCCGGCACCTCTCCTGGAGAGCAGCAGTGAGGGGATGGTAGCTGCCATATAATGCAGTTTGTATCTAGCTGAGCTGGCGTCTCTGGTATCTCAACCTTCATCCTGAAACTTATTCCTGCTTTAAATTGCAACTCTGTGTTTGTACAGTCCTGTAGGAAATACAGTCAGTGTAATCTGCAGTGGGTTTAGGAATAGAATTAGTAGACGTGGCTGTCATTCCATAATACCCCGGCAGAACTATCCTGTCCCGCAGTTTAGGGGACACTGAAGTGTCACAGGTGGCACTAAACCCTTCCCGCTCCTCATGGGACAGAGGAGGAAGAATAACTCAATACTGAGCCTCAGACAGATTCAGATCTAAAGAAAACATTTCTCTTTTTTCTAAAATATTATCTAATGCATCATTATTAAACGCAAGCAGGGTTTGACTTCTACACCATGTGAAAGGATTTTAGAACTCCTTATGCATACTGGGGACACGAGAGGAAGAGGGGGAGAGAGAGCAAGGACTTGTGCCTTTGCTGTATCCAAATGGCCCATAAAGGATGGCAGCTTTGCTCCAACAGACAGCAAACCGTGAAGCTGTTCAATGAATTCTCTTTGCCATCATTTAACAATGGCCAGAGAGACAAACCACACAGTTCTAGAAAGCCAGCAGCAGAACAATGAGGGGCGAGCAGCTGGCACAAACCTGTCAGAATGTGCAAACAAGGCGACGAGTCAGATGCCGAATGTCCAGCAACACCAAACACCAGCATTCACAGCAGGCGAGGTCAGGAGCATCTTAGAAAGCCAAATCAGTCAAACAGCCAGCAGGAAGTTTTATCTACAGGTCTCACAATCTGTCCTGTTTCTGTTTGGCTTCTTGTGATTTTGACTTAATTTTCACGACCTCATTGAGTCTTTTTTTTTCATGTGCTACTGTTTAGCTTCCCCTGAGGATTGATATTGATATTGGTGCTTTTTGTTTCAATGAGTCACCAGTGAGAGACACGGTTGATTTTCACTGAGAATTCTATAAAAACAGATATGTACAGTCAAGATGCATCTGCACAGGATAGCACTAATTAATCTGCCACTGTGCTGTCTTTAGTCCTGAAAAGACATACTTTCAGTATATAGGAAGTTTAAATATTTGTGTAACCATCATTCATCTATTATAGCTAAAGATTAGGAGAGATTGTTGTTTGGAGAATAGAATTTTTTGATAGATCAAAATGAAACAGGTTAGGGTTTTGACACTTGAAGATTATACAGTTTTTGTGTGTGTCATTATTGTAAGGAGACATAAATAGGTTTGTTCTAGGTAAACACCTTTTGTTTAACCACCGTTACGCAGGAAGAATGAAAGAAAAAATAAAAATTACTTTTGTGCTTACTTTGCTGTCATAAAATTAAATGGCTTAATAGTCATACTCCAAATACTAAATTATACCCAAACAGTCACAGGCCAGTCAGTTCTTATGCTTTAAAATAATGTCCAAGAGCTTTTGGTCCACTTTATTTGGTAATATATAAGTGAGACATAGGTACAAAAATGCAATTTTATTTATTGAAGTTAGCACAGATGTCTGATTAAAGAATAAATAGAAAGTGCACCTTAAGGCCTCGATCCTACAACCAGACAGGTGGCACAGAACCCTTGTGCCATCTGCTCCCAGCATCAGGGCCTTTGCATTGCTACAAGGATGGCCCAGAGGGTGGGCTGCAGCTCTCTACTCACAAACACATCTCTAGCCCTCAGCAGGTTGCATTTATAATTGTAATATTTGTGTATTTATTTCTAGGGAGTCAGGAGGGGTTTATAAGGTGTGCCAGACATCAAACAAACAAATAAGAGCCAGTGTGGGAACATCCATGCAGCCACTTGGACTTACACCAGCAATTTATCTGGGTTTGAGCTCTGGCAGTGGCAAATTTGGAGGCAGCCACCAGTATTCCTGCTGGAAAACCACCTTATTCATCAGAAATGACTGAGGCTCCTGAGCACATACGTGCACAGACCATGCAAAGTAATTTTGTGTTTGCTGCTTTTTAAAATCATTGCCATAGTTGATTTTTCCCTGTACAATTCTCTCTGAGTCTTGCTTGGAGTTTAAATGTATTCCAGCTAATGGTTCCTCTCCCAGACTGATTTCTGCATGTTAATGGTTCTCATTCTGGAGGTCTGGAAAACTGAGATCCCAATTCTACCATAAATTGCATATGGAAATGAGTAATTTTATTCATGAGAGCCACTGATCTCACAAAAAAATTACCTATGAGGCCTAGCACAACATACAGAAATTCAGAGACAGAAAATGAGGGACAAAAAGCATATATCACAAGATTTTTGTTTCAGTTGTAATTGTCTGGTATGGAATCATTTCCCAGTTCTATAGTTAGGGCCATGCTTACATATGTGCTACCATCTCTGCTCCCACTGTTTCTGCAGTTAATTGTAGGGTTTCATCTTTTGGAGGTGGGAAAGGAAATCAAACCCTCCCTTCATTTCTGTATTTTGCAAAATTCTTCAGAATTTGTTTTAATTTTAGCCCTTTGTATTTTAATCTTAAGCTTTGCCTTCCTCTCCTATTTCTTTTTTGTTTGCACTCTTTAATCCTAAATTATTATTGTGCAACTTTTGCTGTGTAATTAATGTTCATCTGATTTCAGGCCTTCTTTTGAAAATAGATGTGGGTTTAATTTATGTATTTCCATTAGCACAAAGTTAAACAAAATTTAACCCTAGGCCCTATTCTGGAGACAGCTCCCTTGCATTTATTCCTGTCTGGTTTGCAGTACAAGCAGGCCTAGTGATTACACACAAATACTGCCCGTGTAAGAGTTGTAGAACTGGCCTTAAATGGTTTTCCAGCATTCTTACTGGTTTGGGTTTCTTTTTCCTGTTATGCTGGCAATTTATAAGATACATCAGCCAAAAGGAACCCAGCAGTGGTCCTGGGTAGACTGGAAATACATTTTATTATTTGGTTGTGAAATGTCTCACTCGGTGGGGCTACAACCTTGAACAGAGCCTTAAATCCTTACTGCAGCTGGAATAAATAGGAATGAAATGCCCTACTTGATCAATGCTACACAGACACGTGCTCACGTGGACAGACAGCGCTCTGGCTGCTTCTCTAGGGCTTTGTTTTAAAGAGGACATCCATGTAAGCCTTGTCCAGATCCATGGATTTCTTCAGGTGCTCCGGGAGCAGCCTGCGGCCCAGCACCACGTCGTCCTTGCTCCGGGGCCTCTGGGTGCGAGCGTCCTCCAGGGCACTGTGCACGTCCTGCAGCTTCATCTGCAGCCAGTCCTGCCTCTCCACCGTGTGCCGGTGCTCGCCCAGGTTGTGCATCAGCTGCATCTCACTCACCGACCTTTTCCTGCAGCAAAGCAAAGAAACAGCCCCATGGGGGCCCTTCTGTCATTCCAGAATTTGGCCCAAAGGCCCAGGTTTGGGAACTTCTGTAGGGAATCACAGTACTGAGCTGGAGAAGCTACCTGGCTGATTTGTAATGACATCTGGAGAAGACAGGGAGGGTGGGTGGTGATTTGTTATTAGTAATGGATGTATCAGTGAGAAAGCATCAAAAGTGGGAAGTAGTTCAGTTTTGTAAACCCATAATTTAGCTATTGTCGAGGAGCTTAGGGCTTATACAATATTAGGTGAGTGATCAGTGAAACCATGGCATTTATTCAGTGGTAGTTTTCTGTGATCACCAGAGCTAAGGAAGCATGATTCCCTGTGGATTTGTGTCCCAGCTGGATGTTAGAGTCCAAGTGTGAGTTACAGCTGGATTCTCACAGTACAAAAGATGGGCACCTGTGTAGACCCCTAAGACATGGAGCTTATCCCATTTGAATAATAAGAGAAGACTTACATAATTTTTATCCCTCTACTCAGCCACCTATTTTCAAAAAACATAAACACATTCAGAGTGTCTGAGTATAGCTCAGACTCTCTATAGCTGTTTCTAGAGGACAGAGTGTGGCCAGCTTGACCAAAGGGTTCAAAAGCAGGGACAGAACTCTCACACATGCACAGACAAACTACCATGTTCTCAGGAGCAGTAAAAGTCACCCAGTGTGAGATTTTGCACTTACACCATTGGTCTTCCATCAGAGGTTGTGAGAAGGCACATGGCACATAAAATGATTGCAGCCCGGGACAGGTTTCTTATAGAAGTCATTTTGTCTACAAAGGTAGAAATGAATACATGTAAAGTCTGTAATTCAAGTTATTTCTGTTCGTTCCAAACAAATTTAAATTAGAAAAAAAAAAGTTGAAAAACATCAGACAAGAGTTTTTGAAAAATTATTCTTTTGTGAAATGGGTTAGAGCGAGGAATGCAAATGAAGGATTTACTTCTAATACTAATTTTGTGAGTAACTCATTGTTACTTCCTGGGCAACTCCATGAATTTTGGTCAGCTTTATCTGCCCTGCATCATCGTCATCATCAATCATCATCATCATCATCATCAATCATCATCATCATCATCATAATCGTTGTCATCTAGGTACTTCTTGCATAATTGGGCAAAAAGCACCATGTTCTTCCAATATTATTATTATTGTCATCACCATCATCATTATGACTTTGTAGCCTTCAGGTAGGTCCAGTGAAATACTTGTATATGGCTATTCAAATGAAAAATTTTATAGAATAAAACTTTCTTTATTTCTCTATTTCTTTTGCATATTCTTTAGAATGAAGAAGCTGACACTTTCCCTGACAATTTTGCACAGTCCCTACTGAGTTACAGAAGAGAAATCAGAATTAAGAGCCTCATTTTTCAGGGATAATCCTGCATTCCCTGTATGAATTCCCCTCTGATTTTTACATCATCATCAGAACTGCCATTTGGAATATATTTAGAAAATATTTACCACTGGTGATGCTACAATAGGCAGAAATGACACAGTTCCAATATCAGTTTCTAGTCTGGATTTTCAGTACTGGCAGGCAGAAAAGGCACCTTTTTGTTACCACTTAAGAAATTTGATACAGGGTAACTGAAACCTAAGGTACATAAAACTCCACAATGCCATTTTTTGCAATAGTTTCTGTAGCTTTGCTCTAGGTCAGAAAAGCATTTAGAACTCGGTCTCTGACATGACAGTATCAGTGAGGTCCTGGCAGTCCATCTAACCCAGGATTATAAATTCAGAACTTGAATTTGCTTCAAGATATTTCTCATTCACTGTCTCTTTTTCATTTCACAAATTTAGTTCAGATAACAGAACAGTTTGATCTTACTAATATTCACTTATTTTTAAAGATAATCTGAAAAGAAACTAACACAAAAATGGGTAAAGGATCAATGATAAAATATTCTAATAAGCATTCCAGAGAACTTGGAAAAAAGTAGAGTATACTTACCAGATAGAATGTTACAGAGATTTCTGGCTTGGGTATGTCAGCAGATGACTGTCTCTTGATGTCAAGTGTATTTAAAGACCACTGAATTGGTTTAGTGGACCCCTTAAATGTAACTTTGAAATAGAGCTTCTAAGTAACTTGGAAGCCCTTTTATTGTCTCAGTTGATGTCACTGTCACACACACCCTCCTGACCCTCATGTACCCACCCTCAGATGCTTTCGTTGATTTGACATTTCATTTACAGGGTGAAGAGGTCTCAACAGAAACAAAGTCCTGGGAAGCTGGGAGAAAGTTTGATTTTTAAATTCAGAATTGTGCCCAAGATAACGTGAGCTCTGAAGCTGTTGGAAGGGTTTGCAAAGAAAGCTTTGAGTTGTTAAATGCAGGCAGGAAAACTTAGATGAGACACTAATTAAGGTTAGTGATCTATCTACAAGTGAAAGATTACAACCAAATATTCTTACAGAATACTGACAAGATAATACTGATAATACTTGTGGGAAATAAGAATAGTCACTTGAGGTCACATACAAGGTTTCTTTGTGAAAGAATATACTGGAAAGGAGCAGAAGCCCCAAGCATGATAGAGGATCATGTTTTTAATGACAGGCTGGTGCCATTGTAAAGCTGCTGAAATGGTGTTAGACCCTCACTGCTCTGTCCTACCTATATCTGTGAATAGCCCTAAATATCATAAATGTGTTCAATAGAATGAAGGCATTGGAAGCAATTGAGATAAAAATTAGTACTTTATAAATTTTGGGAAAGAAATATAGAATTCTGCCTGCTTTCTAAGAAGTGAAATGTGTAAATCAGCAGTACTTTCCAATATGCATGAAGAAAGATTATTTTTGCTGCAAGATATGTTTCCTGTGTTAGATGCTTCTTCTGACTTCCAGTGTATTTCTCCCCCAAAAAACCCCAAGCAAACATCCACAAACAAAAAACCAGTTTGCATCTGCACATTGTAATGCAGAATTTGTAAGATATTATTGCTTTTACCATGAATCCTTTCTGCTTGTGTTATATTTGTGTTGCATTTCATAAAGAGTTGTAAAATTACATGGGGAAAGGGAAGGAAGAACCAGAAACTCCTCTAGAAGCTCTAGAAATCTCGTGGTTCCCTCAGTCTATAGTGAGTAAAGTGAGAAGTAATGAAGCAATTCACTTGAACAATGCCAGGAAAACAGAGTAAAGATAGCTTCCAGCATTATATTGTCAGCTGGCAACATCCTTCCCCCTAAAGGCAGCATACTGGGGTTTGTGGAATGTTTTATTAGGAGATTCAGATCTTCTGGAAAAACCAGGATATTAAGCTGAAGGCTATAACATGATTAAACTATTATTAAAGGATATTCCTAGGTATAATGTGACTAAAAATGTACAGTGCAATGGCATAACAAGAGAGGATTTTAAAGTCTCCACACAGCTGGTAATAGAAAACTCAATTTTTTGAGATTTTACTGTATCATATGCAAAACTTCTAATGAAACTCTCAAGGTAATTTTTTTTCAAAGGCCTGACATTCATACAGAACCTTTGCATGTCACCTTGCATGTGACAGCAAAGCCTGAAGTAAAGAACAAGTGTTAGAAAAATCTAGTGTCATTTTTTATTCAAAGTAGTGATGAGTCGTATCTAAAATTTCAAACAAAGATGGCTTAACCTGATACTTGAAAAAGATGCACTTTAATTCAGGAGAGTGAAGACACAAAAATAAAAATATCCAATATCTGCCCATAAACAAATAGAGCGTGCAGTGGTAATTAAAGAAATTTTGCATGGCAGCTCAAAATTGGTATCACTTTATATGCAGAAAAAATAATTTACTTGACTTGGATTATTCTCTCTCACATCCAGAAATTATGTTATTTGAAAATACAGCTGCTAATAAGTTATCCAGTGTCATCCCAGTTTGCTAAACATCAAATGTTGGAATGACAGATAATGGACTAAGTGAATGTAGTTTTTTTACCACGTACTGTAATTGTTTACACTTTTTTTTGGATACAGTGCATCCAGTGTTTAATGAAGAGCTGAAAATGATATTGAGCTCTTTTAATGTTCCAGTCAGAGGATGATTCAGATTCAGATTCAAATTTTTCCCTGTTTTAAGCATCCTTTTAAAAATTCAGATCTCTTTTGGGCAATACTGAACAGTTCCCAGGAAACCAGGGCTAACATCTGCTGAACTGCTGTTCAGTAAGAGGCTTCAGACTACCCAAATTTATAGACACTACCATAAAGATAGAAAAATTAAATATTATCTCTTCAATTGAAAGTCATCTCATGATATTTTGTAGATATAAGACTGTGCACATAAATACAAAGGCAAAGTGTGGATGAAAAAATCTTCGGGTTTTTCGAAATTCTTTGTGCCTACAAAGGGGACCTGACTTACAGAAGACAATTCTTGCTCCTCTTGGAATAAGAAGAATGAAAACACAGTGGATTCTGAGTTTCCATATTCTGAACACAGCAGACTAAGAATGATCCAGTGCAGGAATCAGTGAACAGACCAGTCAGGAGAATATAAACCATTAAATGTTCCAGGTACCTGCCAGACAAAGGCAACTGATTCAGAAACTGGTTGCAAGCTCTTGGTGTAGATGTTGCAATACTGACATTTCTTCTCCTTTGGAGAAGATGAGAAAAGGAGCACAGGCACCCTTTTAGGCTGAAACACAATAATATTTAGAAGATTTTAGTTCAATTGTGTGACTATTTCTTCATGCACAGCAGCAAACTTTCTGAGGCTAGTCTAAGTTTGAGTAGGGTGTCCTCTTCTACCTTCACCTAAACTCACAGAATGCTATATGGGAATGAGGCAATATAATAATATTTTCTCCAAAGTTTAATACAGGAAAGGCTTCTCCATGCCAGGAGGCATTGCAGACACCAGGCAGGGCATGGCATTTCTGAGGATGAGGGGGAAGCCTGAAAAACCAAAGGTGCTGGAACCACAGCGTGGGAGGGAAGAGCTGACCACAGCCTTTTCCTTGATAAGAGCTTTTCTCCATCAGCCAGCAACCTGCCCTTCCCTGACCTTCCCTTATAGATTGTACAGATACCTGAACCAATTGGGCATGAAGGAATCAGCGTTGCTTTGTTTGCAGCTGCTGTGCCACTGACGTTGAGTTTGTGCCATTGGATGTAATCAGACTCCAGAGCTGAAAACAAGGGGAAAACAATGAGACAGGTAGGTGAACAAATTGCAAAAATCCTGAATTATTTTTAAACTTTTTTTGCATATTCTCTATTCATTTTGTCAAGGGAAAGTATTATACCACGTCTTGAAATTAAACCCATCCTGAGGTACATCACTGGAATATGGTTAGAGCACACAAAACTTTCTAGAATTGTACTGTTTCGTGACTAAAGCACATTTTAAAAAATTAATAATGTCATCTGGTGTATTAATATTCCTGCAGAATTCTTCATTCTCCAGATTTAAGGCTTCAGTGCTGCAGCCAGATTTCTGCAGTGCTATTTCCAACAGCAGGCTTTTCCCACATTGCTTCTTCCAGAGGGTAGTTCCAGATAAAATGCTTTCTAACTGCTGCTGTGGCTTAAAGAATATTAGTAGGTCATTGAGCAAGGGAACAAAGTAATTGATGACACACTGGATGATTGGTGAGGCAACTTTCTAAATGTGTCCAAGGAATGTTTCTCTCTTGACACAATGAAGAGCCAAGGTGACAGTCAGTAAACTCTTTAGAGCTTCATTTGATTGACAAGATTTGTGGCTTTTCAAATTCCACAGAAGTAATTTTATGTAAGCAGTTGGGTATCTTCAGTTGGGTTTT